TTGGCGGCTTATGAGGATGTGGTACACATTAGGCGAGGTGCATTGTGGGCGCTTGTTTAACCTCCAGGAAAGTAGCAGACTCAGTTAAAGATATGACGCTTACTAGGAAGAGACTTCCAGGCTGTAGATGAGGCGTCGGGACTCACCGTGGGCGTAACATGAAGCCGAGCAACGAAGGCACAACGGACGGCGAAGCCCTAAGGCGTGGTAATAGTCACACAAGGCGAACGAGATCGACCTCTTGAGGAAAGGAAGTACCCCGGGGTGGCTTAAAATCTAGATGCCCTATATTAAAAACCTAGCGATATTTCAATGGTGGCTTTTGATTGTTTCGAAAGGTCCCGATATTATTGGTTTTTAGGGAGGCTCGATAAAGTGATGATATTTGATTGATTAAGGTGAACAGAGTACAGATAAGTGACATTCGCAAGTGTTAAATGAACGTCAGGAGATAGCTGCGGATATACCGTAGCCAAACTAACAGCTGTGAGTAGGGATCGACCTCTTATACGACATACGAGAGCTCTGTACGTTTACTAAGTAGCTAAAAAAAGATGTATCGAGAATTAAGTCAACCTATCAAAACTAAATGACAGCAGACCAAGGATGAACAATCGTGTTTTGGTGAGATTGACCTATCAATCCCTTTATCATATACTTTCGTTCTATATGAAAGTCAAGCCAATACAAAAATATGTTATAAGGTTCATGTAAAAATATTACACAAAAACCCTTTTCTTTAACTATGGTTGTGGTTTCTATAGCATCAACAAGAAAAAAGGAAAGGATAGAGGCAAGGATGTAGATTAATAAAGTATTGCCTTCGAATGATGCGCTAAGCATCTTGTAAAGACGCGAGCCCCCATGGCGGATGCTTCTTCCGGGGCCCCCGACAAGTAGCCGACGCCCTGCATGACTGCTGCGGCCTGCTCATCTAACTCTTTAAGGAGACTGGCTGGTGGATGCCTCATCGCAGCTATGCCTCTCCGAGGGCTACAATGACCACTTCCCAGTGGTGACTGGAGCAAGGGCTCCTGAAAATCACCGCTAGCAGTAACCAGTGGGCTAACAGCAGGCGAAGTATAATAGGATGCGAAAGAGGAGCACGGTGACATTCCGCCACTGGACAGGTTAGAATGGTCCCTAAATAAGGTAAGTTTAAGAAGTTGGTTAGCTAAGACAATGAGCTAAGCAGAAAAATAAACTCAAATAAACGTTGCATATAAAGATAGAATAGCTTTAAACTAGAAGTTCTTCATTTAGAATTTTTTCAATGAGATAACGCCGGATTTGACGACTTAGTAATAATATGTTAAAATCCATTTTTATCTTTTCACATTGGCCTTAGCTCACCAGCCCAGACATATTCAGCGCACAGGCTAGCTAGTTAAATAGGCTCTAGCACTTGTTATAGTTGTACATAAACCGTAAACCATATAAAAACATATGGCTCAATGTTAGAATGTATATCTAGAAAATATTCCCCGTAGACCTCTCAAGCTTTTGATTTATATGAAATCATAAAACGAAACCAAAGTATATACGGAGTAATCCTTACTTTCCTAGCTTACACCAGTCCTTCCTTAAGCTTATTGTACGTTAATTTCAGTCACAAGAATCTTTCCCATTTTTTATCTGACTTAAGTTCACAAATATGCATATGACGTCAAACAGGAAGTTGAGTATAAGATGAGAAATTGTGGCTCAAAGCCACCTGTACCTAAGCTTGCAATCTGGTCATTAGAACTAATATATCTGCTTATATAGTAGCATTGGCTTCCATTTTCTGTATCCTCAGGCTTTGTTACTCAAAGTTTATCTTTCCATTCAGTAAGTACTCTTAGTCTATTATAACTCTCATCGTATAAGAAATTACAGTGACTTTTGTAAATTATTATCAAATGCCATTATGAGGGTAGTATTCAAACGAATGCACGTTGAGACCTAGGAACTGAAATGAGAATTGCTAAAAGTGCATTAAGTATCTCTAATAACTTTAATAAATTAGCGCTAGATGCTTCAAGATAATTTTGGTTACATCTGGTACATTTGTCACATTTTAGCGCATTTCTAAAATCCATTTTTGTGAGATTCTATAGGCTTTTATATTTTGATGTTTCTGTGTCTGCCCTATGTAATATTACCTGTCATAGAAACTCCTATTAACAATCAAGCAAG